TCCTAATGTTCAGATGGAATCTCCTCTCTTGTAGTTTGAAGCCATTGTTCCGCGTCCTAGTCTCCAAGGAAATGACTATCAATCACCCCTCTCCCAACCCCACCAGTATTAAATTTGGGCATATTGGACATTTCTGCCAAATTTGGCCCAGTGAATGAAAATACACCCTGCATATAAGACATTTACATTATGATTCATAACAGGAGCAAAATTACAGTTATGAAGTCACAATGAAAATAATGTATAGTTGGGGGTCACCACAACATGAGGAACTGTATCAAGGGGTCACAGCATTAGGAAGGTTGAGAAACACTGATCTATGGCACACAAAGAAGGGCATTTCAGTATTGTACTTTGTTTATTTTTGAAAGAATAATCCATTTGTTTGACTACTTTTCTTCCCCCCCAAATAACCACGACATGCCTTCTCTGGACAAACATGATGGAGAGCCAAGCGAAGGGGTTTTTTGCTTCGGAAATGTTAACAGTTAGCAAAGCAAAAGGTTGTTTTGATTGCTACTTTGGCAAGAGGTCTGCGGATATTAGACTTAGAGGGGGAAAGGAAGAATTCTCTTTGATAATGCAATCCTTTGTTTTCCAGGCTTTATTCCATTGTATAGACAGGTGGGCATTCAGGAGGCCAAAAAAAAAAGTTATTAAAAACTTTTTTAAAAGGTACATTCCAAAACCAGGTGCATCTAAACTGCAGAATTAATGCAGATTTACCCCACTTGAACTGCTGTGGCTCAATGCTATGAGACCTTGAGAGTTGTAGTCAGGGGCGGCTCAACCCATTACACAAAGTAAGCATTTGCAGTATAGTTGATTTTGCCCAGGGGCGCTCTTGAGGCACTCTTAGGGGAAAATAGACCTTGACATATGCGAGTTGTAGTTACTGGGATGTATAGTTCACCTACAATCAAAGAGCATTCTGAACTCCACGAATGATGGAATTGAACCAAATATGGCACACAGAACTCCCACGATGAACAGAAAATATATATCAGTGATTGGTTTGGGGTGGGGGGGGGGCAAAATACTGTTTGCTTACCGTTGAAAATTACCTAGGGCCACCTCTGGTTGTAGTTTTACAAGGTATTCTCTACCAGAAGTGCTAGTGGCTCAGCAAACTATAAATCCCAGTGTACATCTACACTGTAGAAGAAATGCAGTTTGATCCCACTTTAACTACCATGGTTCAACGCCATGGATCCCTGGGATTTATAGTTTGGTGTGGCACCTGCCCTTTTTTGACAGGGAAAGCTAAAGACCTTAACAAACTACAACTCCCATGATTCCATAGCATAAAGCAATGGCTGTGAAAGTGCTGCTGAACTGCATTAATTTTCAGTGGTGCCATGGATCCCTGGGATTTATAGTTTGGTGTAGCGCCTGCACTCTTTGGCAGGGAAGGCTAAAGACCTTAACAAACTACAACTCCCATGATTCCATAGCATCGAGCAATGGCTGTGAAAGTGCTGCTGAACTGCATTAATTTTCAGTGGTGCCGTGGGTTATTTATTTATTTATTTATTTATTTGCTTCATTTATTGACCGCCGCTCTCAGCCCTAGGGCGACTCGCGGC